ATGAGCAGGTCGGCTGCGGTTGGCAGCAGCAGGCCAACTCAGAGTCCGGCTGGGGTTAGCGCTGTACTTAAACCTCCACCACATGGCATCTCGCCCCAGAAACCCCCTGCCTGGAGTAGGCCCACCCTCACATCCAGCTCCTTACAGGGTCTGCAGAGAATCTGTTCCAGTGGTAACTACCTCCCTGGCTTCTGTGAGACCCTGGCTCCCCAGATACACAGCCCACCTCGCAGCACTCTCTAGAGGCGGGGACACAGGAGACAGGGAGTGCGCCTGTGTGGGACAGAGCAGGCTGCTAAGACAATAGGAGGTGCTGTTTGTTCTCGGGATGCAGACACCCTTCAGGATCCTGTTTCTCCTAGCAGTTAACACTCTCTAAAGCCTTCTCTAAGACTTGGGGAAAGACACTATCTAGAATGAAACGTTTCACGACAGACCCAACTTGAACACCAATCTGAGAAGATGAGTCATTTCCTGGTGGGCGCCCATTCATTGGTCTTCAGCTGCCAAACTTGTATGATGGAAGAGGTATTTGTCATGTACCTATGGTGGCAAAATTGACCTAAAATCCAAGAGATTGAAGGAGAATCTCCAGGATCAGTGGGCACAAGCAAGACCTTCTGTCCAGCCTCCCTCCCCAACCCGTTCCCTTCAGGTCCTCCTGATCCTTGGTGGCCCACCTTGCTGCCTGTGACCAAGCACCCTCATGGCGGGGCAAGCCCCAGGGTCACCTGCCCACAGCCCCTGCCTGGCCGATGCCCACGGCTCTTTGATTCAAAATCTTTCATGCTGGTCACTATCCTAACAGATGGGTAACAAACTGCAAACCTAAAATGCTGTTCAGGAATTGACCAGGTTCGGGTGTTTCACATTTCAGTGGTCTATTAATTATTCACGTAGAGTCAGCCTCCTGCTCGATGGGCGATGTTATCAGGCAAGCTGTTTTGGTGATAGGTAAGCAGAGCTGAATCCTGTGACCCTACTAGGGTCAGAGATCAGACTCCATCCCTGCAGAGCTCCACATGCTGACACAAGGTGAGCCACACTGGGGCAGGTCAGAGAGGAAGCAAGGGAGGCTGCCACTACAATTCCAGGACAAGCTTCAGGACAACGTGGACACGGCCCCATCTAGGTCAGGAGAATTTGGTCTCCTCCTATCAGCAGTGGCCCACAGTACTACCAACCAGACTGGGATAGATCCAGAGGACTGTCCACAGGGACCAAGCCCAGGAGGGGGTCTGCAAGAGGGACCTGACATTTCACCAAGGGGGACCCTATAAGGGGACAGTGCAAGTCCCAGCCAGACTTCTCCTTTATGATGGGCAGGTCAAAGCACTTGTTCCCTGAGGAAAGTTAAGTGTCCAAGTTCCAATGGCTCCATCATCCCTTTCCCACTGGTTTGGACATAATAATGAAGTAGGCCATTGCAAGCTCTGGAGGCAGTCTCAGGAGCTACTGCCTCTGGTGACCCCTGCAAGACAAGTGTCATCAGAGGTGAGGGGAGCTAGCACCATGGCCGCTGGGTCCACCCAGGGCTGCAGAGCTGGCCTCAAACTCGCCCCACGAACAGCCAGGCCAGACTGACACGTGCTGGATGAGCCCAGCGCCTCACCTTCTCCTGCCCAGGTATGGTCAGCTTCCCTACTGGTGTAGCGTTTGCAATTCTATGGCTACAAAGGTGGTAGTCAGCAGCTCAGAAATGGCTTAATAGTCAGCAGGACCCAGAGACCACTTCAGTTATTCTCCAGCATGAGAAAGATGAATTCATGGAAGGGCAGAAGGAACCCTATCCCTGGTGAAGAGTGATGACCCTAGGAGCAGAACCCCAAACACACCGGCAAATGGCAAACGGAGGTAAGCGGTCTCAAATGCTCCACCCACCACTGGCCAGCCACGGCCTGGGGCAAGCCCCTCTACACAAGGAGGCTGGGCCAAACTCTAACACCCATCCCTAACGTGAGAGCCTGTAACCTTGGACTCCACCCAGATGGGGCTGTTGTGTATTCCTCCTTGCTTCTTGCAGCAGACAGGGCAGTGGGTGCTGAGGGGCTGCCTCACCTGCATCTACCCACAGCATCAGAGGCAGGCGTCGGTCTTCCCTCTCTTTTTCTCCCATCTTCCTTTGCGGCACTGCTAGGGCAATCACTGCTACAGATCGCAAGGTTTGATTTTACAGACAATCTTTGTGAAGCATAGAGGGAAATGGATCCCTGCGTATACTAGAGAGGGTAGCACCTCTGAACATGTGAGGGGCTCCGAGAAGAAAGTGGCTCTGAACACCTAAGACTGCAACAGTGTTCACTGACCATCAGACAGCCCATGGGGGCCAGCTGTGCCCTCAATGTGTTGGCCAAGCTGTGGTCTCACCCAGGGCCACCGTGTCACGAACTCACCTCTGGAAGCAAGAGGAGGGTTGGGCATCAGGGCAGCTGGTGTCAAAGGATGTGCCAAAATAACTCAACAGCACAGAACAGAACCTTGTGGTTACCGAGCTTTCGTAGCAACTGAGAGAGTTTTCTATTTTCGTATGTTTTATAATTATGTGAAAATTCTATTTTTATCCAATTTGTGGTCCACCAACCGAAAAAGAAAACAAAACCCCAAAACCCCCTCTTTTTAGTTGCCTACCTCACACCGGCATAGACGTGAGTTCACGCAGCAGGGACACCTCAGAAAACTCTTTAAGTTACTACTTTCTCCCCATGAGAAACGATGACAGGTCCTGGTATTCTTTTCTGTTCAGGGACTGCTGTAACTACGAGGAAGAGGCGGTAGTCGACTGCTCTATTGAAACACCCATCTGTCTCACCTTGTCCCCTCTACCAGCATGTGTCATTTGACTTAAAACAATCTTGAGCATACGTATTAGAGACTTCTTAAATGACTATTTCAACTACAATTCCTTTAGAATGTCAATTTCCTCAACACTGTCTGTACTGATAGAGGAATGTCATGCCCTGTGCCCAAAGCAGAGGACAACAGCAATGGAACCAATTCCCCAGCCTTGGGCTACACCGTGGTTTTGCTGGAGCATCACAGGCGCTTGACTGCAGTCACTGAGGCTACTGGCTGATGGTGGAAACCAGTCTGCTAAAACTCAAGGACAATCCATACTCACCTCCACCGTATCCTCCAAAACACAGCCAAGCTTCTTCCGACCATCAAATGCTACAGAGGCACAGACCGGAGTCCAGTGCTCTGCCTTTCATGCTGAAGGTTTGGTGTTGACACCGCTCAGCCCCGGATCTAGCACCCCTTGCCGATATAATTTACAATAAATGGGGGGTGTTCAGCCATTATTTCTTTATTGCTTATTTTCATGCGTCCTTCTTTAACAGACTTCTTTCCTCTCCTTTTAATATCTTTTCCATTCAGCAGTAATGCACTTTCATTCAGTGAAAACCATAGCAAAAAAGAGGAGGTAAATACCTGTAGTTATTTAGTGCAACTAAATGCAGGCATTATCTGACCTTTTTCCACCTGGGAAGGCGGAAACTTAAAATGTCAAACTGGCTGCTGTGCGCTGATGTGTCTCCTGCATTTTCTCACATCAAGCAGCTAACAAAGTAGGTATTAATTGGCGTCAAGCACACAGGCCACAAATATCACCTTAATATCATCCGCAAGCACTGCTAAAGTGCTTCATTTCTGCACCTTGCCTGGCTAATTCCATGTAGCTGATTGCTGCGTTGGCAAACAGCCATTTGTCTACATGGCCTCCTGCCCTCACAAGCTTTTTATTTACCTAAATGGAATAAAATAAAAATATAGGGTGCCCTGCTGAGCACCCCTCCCGGCCCGCATCGTTCCCTAAATAGTAGGGTTGGCACCAGGTTGGTGATGTTGAAGGCACTGGGGAAAGGGCTCTCTATAACACTTTCTGGCTGGAGACCTGGCCAGAGGGCAAGAAGGCCTCTCTGTGGCTGCTGTAAAGTGACATGTGCGGGTCGGTATAACTCCTACAATGATAGGCATGACAAAGGGGAGTGGCTGCATCACTGATCGGGATTCCATATGGATGTCCCAGTAGCAATGGGACAGAAATGGGTTGGTGGACATTCTGGGCCCTCACAGTCACCAATGCATCTCCAAACCATTGCTGACAAAGGTTCTAGCTCCATAGCAAATGAACTTGTACCCTACCTGACATGTTAATCAGGCAGGGAAATGTACCCAGAGCCACCACTGGGAGATCCGGGTTCCCAGCAAGGGATTCTAGCACAGGTATGTCTGTGTCTTAGCTCAACACCTCTCCCTGGGAACCCTCCACCTCATCACCTTGGACACCACCTGCCCCAAGGGCTGGGAGCACAGGCCTCCAAACCATACCCAGAGTGAGCCCTATACCTGGCACCTGCATTTCTACCAAATACCCACATGAGGTGAGGTGAGGCAGGTGGTAAGGGCACATCTGGAGAACTCCCGCTCCACGAAAAGAATGCAGTCGTAAAAATTATCCACCCAGTACATCCACGTCCTCAAGGGCATAGGTGGAAACACATCTGCCCTGGGCAAAGCTTTAAAACAGTTATGGATGATCTGTAAGGATAAGAGCCATAGGATCTCCCCACTCGAGATTTCACAGTTGGCTCCTGAGTTATGAAATTCACTTTACAATCTTCTAGTTTTACAATGGTATGAAAGCAATCCATCACAGATATGCATTCAGAAGAACTACACTTTGAATTTTGCTCCTGGAATAACAGTAAGGGGTACGCTCCCTTCTCATGATGCTGGGCAAGGGCAGTAAGGGCAGCATGGTCCCCAAGACCAGAGGGGAATTTTCAGTGGGTTCATCAGGACTTAACTCTTGTACATCAAGAAGCACTTGCACAGAGGAGAAAACTGGAACTTCACACTGTGCGTAACACTTAGCTGCATGATCAGAAGATGACTGCACTAGGGAGGGTGGGGAAGCCACACAAGCTATTGCTCTGCAGTTGCTGCTGGGTAGGAAGCACCGACACTCACATGAGCCTCAGATCCAGTGGTCCCCATACCTGCACGATGGGGTGTCCTCCAGCTGACGCCTTCACGGCCCCCCGGCTGCCCTCTGTCTCGTAGTGAGCTCTGTGGTGGGATTTGGGCTGTACCTCAATCCGCAGCTCATAGGGGCCAGAGTGGGACGGCAGCTGCCAGTCAAGAGCGGGCAGAGATGGGCTGCAAAGGAAGACAGAACCATTAAGGCCCAGGCTGGTGGACACACTCTTAGACCACTGAGCCCAGCACATGCCTCAGGACACAACTAGCAGGCCACCTTCCACCTTACATCCCTAGCACCCATCAGTGGGGTGGCATTCTGACTTGAGTGACCTGAGCAGTGTAGAGTCTGTGGCCACTTTATCACCATGTGGGGTCACAGCTTGCAGTGCTTCACACCTCGATCAAAATGTTTTCCTTCCTTCATGAAAAGTTTCTGTAAATTATCTAAACTTCCTCACAAGATTGGGTCCTGACTGAAAAGCTTCTTAAAATCAGAGGCACAAGTCAAGCGAGCAAGACTTCTCACCATGGGCAGAGCCCACGAGCCTAGTATCTCAGTGGCCTCAGCCAGAATCTTAAAATGCTGATTGAACCCCTACTGAGAACCAGGAAGAGGCCTGGAGAGACAGCCTGCAGGTGCCAGCTAGGGGACAAGTCACGGCCTTGTGTCCTGCAGGAGGGCCCTCCTGGGAGTTGTATCTTGGTGGCCTCTTCTATGGCCAGATGTTCTGGGGCTCTGGAGCAATTTCCCTGAAACCACTGATTTACTGATGACTTCTGCCCAGAACCAGGAGAAGGACAAACAGAACTGCTCATGGCCCATGTGCCTGGAGCAATCACTGACTCTATCCTGACCAGGTGCAAAGTGACCTAGAAGCCCAGCACAAAATCCCCATGTCTGACCCACACACACTGGGTACAAGCTGTGATAAGAATCTGTGTCTGGCCAGAAAAAGAAAGCCCCCAGCACAGGTTGGGCATGGTTGGTCTTCAGAGTAGCACTGAACAGCAACGGGGCCGTGTGGCTGTTGGGATGTACTGTTCTGCGCTGAGCAGTTTCTCAGCTGCGGCTGTCAGGGCCATTTCCTGTGTAGGTTATCTCATCGCACGCCCAGTTTCCGGCAGTGCTGCCAGGCGGAAGGAAGAGTGGCTAAGCAGAAGGCTCGGCCAGGAGGGAGGACAGTGTCCTGGGGAAGGCCACTCTACAGAAAGCTGAGGCCAACTGTGACCGCTGGGGTGGAAAGAGTAGCCCAGCAAGGTGAGGGGCCCGGCTCCTACTGCAGGAGGCAGAGCCAGAAAATTGAGAGCTCCTCTGCACTGGAGGATTCCTCTGATCACCCCAGTGCCCTGACCAGTGGAAAGGGTACAGGCATGGGGGCCACTGAACATACAAAGACATCCACTGCCCAAGGGCTGACATCTGTCAGAAGCAGAGACAGGCAAAGAGACAGAGAGAGGCAGACAACACACACACAGAGGGAAAAGACAGGCAGCAAAGAGGGAAAGCGGGAAAGTCCAGCACCTCACACTCTCACAGAGGTGACCATCTTTCCTGAAGGTGAGAGTCTAAACCCTCTGAATCACTTACAGATTTGCAACATGTACAGCTCACAGTAATAATGGTTTATGAAATAAACATTATAATATAGAAAATTAAGATAGCTGGTTTTGGTTGGAAATTTTCAATATGAATTTGGCAGCTCCATAAAAAATATAAACCTGCTTCTTAGATCAAAGAAAAGGACCGTGACTGGAGAGGAGTGGAGTTGAGTGGAGCAACCCTTCTACCCCCACCTGCTTCCCTCTGTGGGTTCCAGGCAGCAAAGAGGGGCAGCTTCTGCTGCCACCAGAAGACTTCCCTGAACAGCCCCAACCCGAACAGCTGGAGTTCACTGATCGAGGACCTGTACTCAGAATGCATCCTGACTTCCAACTTTAAGCTCATCTCTACATAATTTCATCTTTTTAAAAGTCACACTCAATGCAACCAAGAATTCAGGAGGCTGCACATGTCCCTAAGGTCAACCAGGTTGGCACAAATGGAAGCCATGTGAAGTCATCCACTTATCATTTAACTTACACCCTCACCCAAAGTGTCATTCCAACACCTGGGTAAAGATACCTAAATATTTCTATATAAAAAGGGATATACCTTCACAAAACAAAATGTATAGCTTGGTACCTGGCTTTGGGTTTTGTTTTGTTCTTCTTTTTTTCTTAAAGGAAGGTCTCACAATAAAGCCCAGACTAGCCTTTAACTCATGACAATCCTTCTGCCTCAGTTTCCTGAATGCTGGCTCTGTTCTTGTACAGAAAGAGCATATTTGAGCATTAGGGCATATTGCTTGTAGCGCTTCCTATTATAAATGGCATTGATATGAATAGCACATCATTAAACTGGGACAGCTCCCTGACCCTTCCTTAGCGCAGGTGCACAGTCAAAGGATGCACGTGTGTTAGGGTGCCTGACGCGTTAGCCCTGTGTTCCCTCAAGGTGGTAGGAAGTAACACAGCCCTCTGCTAACTTGTCCCAGCACAAGTCCTGATCTGTGGGAACTTGGCCAATGCTCTTCCCGGGAAATGTTCCCGTCTTCAGACACTGCTTAAATATATGGGCAAAACTAAAGATAACACACAGTGTATGAATAACAAATATAAATAAAATAAATACTGCTCATCCACTAGTAGTGAAGATTCTGGAACTATCTAGGCTTCTAAGCATCCAACTGGTATCGTTCCTATGTCTTACTAAAAACACAGTGAGACCCCAGGCCAGTTGGTGCACACCTGAGGCCCACGTCCCTGTCCACAGAGGCCAGCTGTCCAGAGGCTATGGATGGCCACTGTGGGGTGACACCCACTGTCATCAATATTGTCAGATGCATAAGTGTCAGTCACCATTCTCAGGCCCTGTTTAGAACAGTTGCTTATAAAGTCCAGTCCCTTGATGGACAGAGTATGGGTCTTGTAAACTTTATGGAACGAATGATGTAACACACAAGACAATAAGACAATACATGTGCAGACCTGGAAGTGAACATCATCAGGGCCCCAGTGGCCATAGGAAGAACCAGACACTGTCCCTCCCTGGACATCAGCCCTGGGAGGTGAGCCGTACAGAAGCTCAAACCCTACTCCAAATATACACCTTTGAGCAGATCTCGGACTCTTCCTGAATATGAGCATGGAAATTTTGGTAAAGATTGTTCCTTAATTCCATGAGTACCAGAAGCTTCGGGCTCTGGCATTTAATGCACTTCTGTGCTGGGTGTGGGGTGAGAAGGAGAACAGCCAGCTCCGGGTGAGCCAGTCATACCTTCCACTGTCTGTGGGTGTGTGGCAGGAGGAGCCCCAGCTCTCACTGTCTGAATCACTGCTCATAGCACTGAGACCCACTTCCCACGAGAAAGGCTATGTTCCCTGTCACAGGAAAAGTGTGGAGGATGATGCAGGTGCACAGTTCACAGTGTGGAAGCCACCTACACGCTGTAGTCCAGTGCCAGAGCCCAAAGGTCTCCATGTCCCCAGCTCCTATCTACACTGGGTCAGCATTTCCCAGCTCTGCTCCCTTGAGCACCTGCAAAGCCATGAGGGCGCCTCTCTACCTGGCCATGGCTGTGCAGGGACACACAACAGGGTCTCCTACCTGGCCCCACTTCCTGAGTCAGAACCACACACAGGCCTCATCTCAGAATTCAAAAAGACTTTGGGATAAGACAGCCTCCTGAGATAACGTTTTACTTTATAGGTGTTTCTGAGCTTTGCTTTTCGCATTTCTACTAGCACAGGATGCCTAAGGGGCCCAGAAGCAAGTAAACCACAGGAAGAAAAACTGTAACAGGCATTACCTGCACCAGAACTCAAAGCCCAGGTCATTTCGGCAACAGCAAACTTCTAATGAGGTCACAGTGGAGCCCATCCACGACTCCTCACCCACCAACCTCATAGTTAAGCCTCCCAAGGAGGGTCAGGGTTGGGCCACTATGCTCACCAGGGCAGCTCCACCCCTAGGTGCCTGATCCACTGCATAAGCCCACCTGTGTGGACCTGGCACCCGGTTAAAACAAAGTCCTTAAAACCCCACCGACATCACCAAATGATGTGAATATCACTTGGCCAAACAAAAAATCCAAACTCTAGAGATCCTGAGGCCATGGCAATTTGAGGGATAAACAGATTACACATGGACCAAAGAGCCAAATCACACCTTAGAGGCCATCCATGAAACCCAGATAGGAGACGAAAGTGTTCCCTACATCTTCTACATGGAAGAAGAAAGCAAAATGTCCAGATCCGAGGTATTTGCTGCCAGACAAAGGGTCCCATGTGGAACCTGGTACAACAACTGCCAAGAAAATTATGGACCAGGGAATCCTAATACTGACTTGCTGATACACACAAAGAGATCATTTTATATTTGTTACCAGATGACATACTGGTATTATTAGTTTCTTAAAATGAGTTCTCACCTTTAAGAGAGACACATGGAAACACAGATAAAGCGATAGGACGCCTGCACTGGCTTCAGAGGGTGGTGCACGCACAGGGCAAGTGGTATGAGGGGCAGATGTGGCCTTTCTGCATCTATGTTTAAAATTTCCTGATGTGAAAAGTAAAAGACCAAAAACAGTTTTCAAGAGTAAGTTTGGAGGACAAGAACTAAAACAATCACTTGACAGTCAAAGTCATAGAATTGTCAGGAATTTTTCATTTCCTATATTTTTAAAATATTCCACAGTAAAGGATCTGATCTGTATAACCACAAAAACAGTTTGTTTGTTTTTTTTAAATCTCAAGTGCTAACCTCTACCCCCACCATGGTCAACTGATCAGGGTACTGGAGGTCTTCTGGGTTTTCTCCCTGAGCAAGACCACTGTCACTCAGCACCTGAAGATGAATCTTCTCCACAAGCCAGCACTGAAGAAGCACAAGGACCTCAGTGTAACTGCTCTAGAAGGAACCCAAGGGGCATTTCTAATTACACAGCTTAGCAAAAAATCCTTTTGATTCTGGATTTCCCAAGAAAGAGTTAAACCCCTATGTGAAGAAACATGTAAAGGCTATGTATGACTCCTGCAATTCTATCATAGATGAAGCTACCAACTCAAAATCTGGCAGGGCTAAAATTGCCCAAAGGAAGGATAACAAAAGCAAGTTTAAGCAAAACAAGATTTTC